ATGATATGTTTTATAATGATGATCATGAAAGTGTTCTCAAAGCTGGTAAAGGTGCAGCTAGTTTGAATGACTTTGTATACTAAAGGGTAGCTTGTGAATTTACTCCAGGTGGAAATAAGTCTGATTTAACACTTGATTATATTTCACATCATTCATCCACATCTATAAAGTAACTAAAGGTATTAAATACATGTAGAAGTACAAAGTAGCAAAACATTGAAATACTTAAATAAAGTAAAAGTGTCTCAAAATTGTGCCCACGTGCAGTACTTGTTGACTTTATGAACTTAGTTACTTTACACCAGTGGCTATACAGATAGAAAGACTAAGCCTTGCACAGAGGCATGAAAATACATTTTCAAAATGCTCAACAGTCCTGCCAAAATTATAAACTGACTGCTCCACAATTAAAATAAATGCTTTTATATATTTCTATTAGATGTGACTCTTTGGCGTTTCTGTTATTATTAACACTGCTGCTTTAGTTGTTCTGCTAATACCCTCTGTTATTCCTCATTTTAAAGCCGATATTCCGTGGGGTGGGGGAGCCGGGGGCTCGGATCCTTGTCACCTTTTTCATACCTGATGAGTTTGCATCCCTGACTACAGTTGCTTCAGCGTGTAGAAGCTAGTAGCCTACTATTTGATTTGTTTTAGATAGGCACAACATGTTTCATATGCAGACCTTATTTTCCTGTTCCATGTTAAAATAAACAATTTTCAGTGGTAATCTTTTTTTGGTTATGGAAAATTAGGTAAAGGTCATTGAGAAGTCATGGAAAGTCATTGAAAATCATTGTTGAAAAAGTGCATGAACCCTGCACTGTACTTATTCCTCATCATTGTTTAATGAAATTAATGATTTGATGTTCTCTCCTTCTGTTTTCAGATAGAACACATATCCGGTCTTATCAAACTGTCTAAGGTATGTATATGTGCAGTGAAGAAATGTTTCCTGAGAGTTACAATCATCATTTACAGCTCGTTGAAACGAGGGTTTCATTATTCCTTTCTCTTTTTTTTTATAGGGGGATGTTGAGAGGAAATTATCGCAGATGATTCTGGATACAAAGTTTCACGGTAATAGAAATTGCCGGGTATAAAACATGTACACCTAAAGAATGGAGCATAGTATATTCAGTGTAGTGTCTAATGTTTTTGTGACATATCTTTGCGCAGGAATCCTGGACCAAGGAGAAGGGGTCTTGATCATTTTCGACGAGCCCCCTGTGGACAAAACATACGGAGCGGCATTGGAAACAATTCAGAACATGAGCAAAGTTGTGGATTCACTTTACAACAAAGCCAAGAAGTTGACATAGGTAAAGAAATAAATCTAATTTTGAAAAAAAATCATTGTTTTCGAGCTCGTTCTTTAGTCTTAACAATACACTTGTCTTTCATCCTCAGAGCAGATAACCACGGCAGTGCGATGGAGGGACAGTGTGTGTTTGACCAGCGTGTGTAACATTTTAAGAAGGGGGACAAGGGAGAGCGACAAAAGGGTCCCACAAACTGCATCAAACAGGATTCCCCCCATCAAACTCACCCTTCCTCTCCCCTCAATGGACAATTTCATCACTTCTCTTGTTTGTTTTCTTCCTCTTTAATTTTGATATCTCTTCAGGATTCTGTATAACACTCAGCGGCCAAATCAGGCCATCAGGGAATATTGTACAACCACAATAAAAAGATAAAAAAGGTTTAAGAATAAATATACGTTTATATCTGCTTTAAGGTCGGGCTAACTAGCCTTAAGCTGACTCCACTGCAGCCTCCAAGGTGCATCGCTGACCTCTGCGGCTCAGACTCTGCTACCAACTGAAAACCAGTCTTTCTTCTTCTCCATTACTTTCAGAAGCACACTGCTCAGATTTTAAAAGGTTGGGATACTCCTTGGAATACTGAATTTTGGTCGAAGAGCCCCCCCTCATTTATTACTTTTTCCTTTCCATATCAATGCCAACAGTTAAGTCACCACTGTATTTCAGATATGTATTAAACTCACTTTATTTGTTTTCCGTTTTTGTGTTTTTGTTTAAGAAAAAAAGAATTTGGATAGTTGCCACATGCCTGCCCACCCTGGTTATGTTAGTCTTAAGATCAGACAGGATGCCATTTCACCACCAGTGCCACTTTCTGGGCGCTTCTGTTTTGCCTCAGTGTTTGGGTGCAATATGAAATCTGAAGAGGTGGAGATGTATTCATCGCCTTTGAGTTCCCCCTGAGTGAGCAATTATCCATTATTAGTTCCTAGCACTAGTGTGGAATGCTAGTAACCAAACAATTTGTATGGGTTTGATTTGATTTTTTTTTTTTTATGTTTAACTCTTATAAAGACATTTTCAAAATAAATATTTTGTATTTTAAGGGTATTTTTTGTCTGGTCTTTTGCAAAAATAATATGCTGATGCTAATTTGACTCTTAACTATCAGCGGCCACTCAACGATGGTATTTATTTTACAGTATGAAGGTGAGAAGACTGGGGGTTTGCATGTTGGAGAGTCTCTGACGTGCTCAATAGGAGCTGGGATTAGGTTAGTTTAACCAGAGGACAATTCACAGGGAAGGACAAACAATTCATCAAGAATCCATATTAAGAAAATACAGAAGATGCTTTCTCCTGCTGCTATTGGTCAGTATTTTGAAAAAGTAACTTTACATGAAGGGCATTAAATAAATTAAACTGAGTTTCTGGATTGTTTTTATTTTTTTATTTTTTTTACACCAACAGGATGATTTCTCTAACTCATTTTGTCAAACTTGGCTTCAGACCTTTTCTTTTTATAACACTTTAAAACCAAGTTAGTCACAAGAGATAAAGGAGCATCTGTGAACATCACCAATCAAATAAAAATCTATTTATCAAAACGGATAGAAGTTTTTATTTCAACACTGTTGAAACTATTGCCACAAAATGCAGGATATGTTTATTTACCTCTGAAGACATTCATATTAACGCACAAGCATTGAGAAAAATACTTCCATCATAAGGATATTTTTTGTACAGGTTTCGCTCTTAAATACATTTGCAAAATATAAATACAAAATGTATGTCAAAAAGACATAAACAATGACAATTTGTCAAAACAGTTGCGAAACGTTTGGATTATTAATCACTAAGAGCATTTTCTATTTATTTTTATTTCCTTGCATGTAGTGCTTTTCAAGGAAATTAGTATGAATAATGTTGATGGGACACCTCCTTAATCCTACACCTCTTTCCACTATACATAATTAACAAGGTGAAGTGAAATATGAAATAAAGACAACATCCCTTTGAAAAGGTCACATATCGCTCTATTGTGACGTGTATGTAGAGAGAAATGTTTTCCTACTGCAGAGTCAGCTGAGGAAAGAGGTGGTGAAGTGCGCATCTACTCATCTGACTTCCCTACGTTTCCTGTGCGTGGTGACATCATCTGCGTCAACAGGTCCCGCCTCTCCGCACGTCACTTTCTCAGTTGTGCAGTTGTTCTGTCAGCGCAACGTTTCTGCTGAATTGCACTTGAACCGGAGTTTAAAAAAAAAAAAAGCACAAAGATGACCGACCGGGTGAGTTTCTTTGAAGCAAATATGACAATTTCAACACAACACGAACAGAAACAAGTGAATACTTAACCTAACGTGGACTTGAGGAACGAGAAGCTTTTTTTGTACACGTAAAGTGAGCCAGCACAGCACTTAGCCACTGTGGCAGTCAGATGTCATTCAAAACTTCGTAGCCCGGAAGTGGAATGGAGTATCTTGTGACCACTGCTAGCATATAGTGCTACCACTGATGTTGTTCTAGATAGCCTATAACTTCATATACGTATCAACCACAAAGCTGCTAGTCCCGCAAAATGTATGGGCAATATGTACTTGGAATGGAAACAAATGATGCAGTTAATACAGCTCCGTATGAAAGGCTAAACCAATGATTGCATGAAGGAAGTGTTGACTGTATTTAATGGGTAAAACAAACCAGAAGTGCAGTAAGATTAATGGAATTTGTGTTGAATAGTCAACTTACTACCTATAGCAGTGGCCATTTTTAAAGTAGCTGCAGTGTACAGAAAGTCGCAGTGTTTTTAGAATGACTCTATGCAGCAGTCTACGCTTACGTTTCAGTTTATTAGCTGCAGACCCAGTGGTGTAAAGTAACTAAGTACATTTACTCAAGTAATGTATTTGAGCTACTTGTACATTACTTGAGTATTTCCATGTTATGCTACTTTTATACCTCTACTCCACTACAATTCAGAGATAAATAGTGTACCTTTACTCCACAACATTAACGTAGTACCTTTAGTTACTTTGCTGTTAACGATAACAAATATGATCAGTACTTAGAATTACAGTTGGCCTTTTGCATACATTTTTACAAGATTCTCGGTCACCACTTAATTCAAAATTCATTTGAATACTAAGTCCACCCTTTCTATTTCACTGCTATGCATCATCAATCTGTAATGAGATTACAGGTTGAAAATGAACAATCATTTGTATTGTATATTCCTATTAATTCAACTTGTTTATTCAAAACCCACTGTGAAGGTTTTTATGCCACAAACATTTGCTCGTGGTTTCATAGTTTATTCATTTTGCCTTATCAAGTGGGGCTGTTTGTAATATAATCTTGGTGCCAAATAAAGGCTCTTCCTAATGCTGAACCTTTAGTAGCTATACCATCACAGTGGATATTGAAGGTGCTTGCTTCACCATGCTGATTCACCTAGCCAGTAGCTAGCACTGGGTCTGACTGTTATTAGACCATATTGCAACGTTCTCATGATGAAATGCTGCAGTCTGTTGAGGAACGCAGTGTGAGGCAATGTTAGAACATCACTCAGGGGTCTGGCAGAGGGAGAAGAGCTTAAAACATTGAGGTTGTTTAAACCCAAATTTCCCACAATGTGACGGGATCATATAATCTGCTCAGACATCCTCTGGCTGTGAAAAGTGCAGTTTACAGTATGAGGATGTTTTTCAAAGATGAATTCTTTATCAAATCCTGCTGGGGTTAGGTTCACTTGTTTTCAAAAAGAAGTGTGATTGTGTAAAAGTCTTTTGAGAATATTACCCTACCTCATACATTATTACCACAGTAAACATTTTGCACATAGGTTATGGTCACATGGATAAATGTAAGTCTTTTTTTTAACACAGCACATTGCTTATTTTGTTACTTGGCTTCCATGTAGTAGAGGGCAGGTCTACCTAGTGATTGACAAGTCACTTTTAGCTACCTTGGTTTTATAGGGATGGTCATATGATTGCCTTGTGCATTACGTTGTACACACTTTCTAAATATATATAAATCACACACATTGCGACTCAGCAAGCCATTAAGATTTCCCCCTGCCTTTGTCACATGAAGGTTCATTAGAATAAATGGCCTCCCATCTTAGAATCTCCCAAAGCTTAAATACTTCCTTTGTAGAAATGCACCACTAAGTGTGTTAAACAGAGAGGGAAACAGGTACAGTATATTCAGACAGACCATATCAGTCAAATCATTAAGATGTCCTAGTAGAAACCAAATATGTAAGTATGAACTACAAAATTGCATAATATATCCCCTTATTTGTCTCTGTTGGAAGCAAGATCCAAAAACCCACCTGCAATTTTCCACTTTATAGCATAATGAAACTGAGATAAAAGAGGGCACAAAATTAGATATTGCTGAAATGATCATAAGCTGAAAAACATGAATTGCCATAAGCTTGATTGGGTCACTTTCATGCTTGATAAAGCTGATAAAACAAGTCAATTTAAATTCAGTATGTCCACTGTCTGCAGCACATAATGGTTTCCCTACTCGAGCAGGGTTGAATTTCTCAGACCCAATTGTTCCACATTAGGACCATCCCTGCAGTTCAAGGAAAGACAAAAGGAACCTCTTTCTTGTGTGTTTGACAAACATTTATTCACTCTATTCAAGCAAATACAATGGCTGTAAACCACTTGGACATTACCAATGAAAGCCAGTAGAATACATCAGCAATACACAGAGGAAGCTGAGCGTACACTCCACACACAGGCACTTGACATTTAAAAAAAGAACAGAGTAAGAATGTGAGGAGCATCAGACCTCTCTGGAAGTTTCCAGTGTACTTAAGCTCTCAGGAGGCTTTAGCAGTGTAAAGAGATCACCATAGCAACATGCGTGTAATGGAGGTTTTCCAAGCATGATCTCTGAGCTAGAGGGGATTGGAGGCAAAGTCATGAGAGTGTTGAGCTACAAAAGATCCATGCATACCAACTATAAACACGGTGAATTATTTTCCGTAACAGTCCAAAATAGTGCTGTAGGGACGGTGTATTTCTGTAGGCCAACCAGGAAGTGAGCATCACCCTGGGTCTATCAACAATAAGTCAATAGGATTATTCCCTTGGATTATTGTGGAAAAAAGCTCTGTTGCATTCATGAGTGGGAAAAAGACGTGGGGCCTTTAATGATGTTGCAACTAAAGTACACGCTTTCTATTCTTTGGTAAGATATTCTTTACAAATGGACATAGCGTTAATGCAATCGACAGAAGTCTAAAGCTATAAATTAACTACAGTACGCTCGCACGACTTCAACATAAACACCACTAGTTTATCATCTTTACGCTGTTGACGTTTAAGGGCCCTGACAACCTCTGTAGTCTCATTAGTCTCATAGCCACTTGCCAACAGCCTTTTTTCACTTGAATAAATAGTTTAAATTCAGGAGTGGATGTATTTCCTGATGTATTTTCTGGATAAAACAAAACGTGTCATGTCTTGAGCTTGTATGAACCACAGACCTTATTTTAAAGATCTTACCTAATACCTATTAAAATAAATAACTGACTTCAAAACAAGAGAACAGGAGGTGCAAAACTTGCTGGCTCATTTCCAGGTTTGACCACTCAATACTCAGATACTACCTCCCCAGTCGACTCACTGTTTACATGTCTCTGCTCTCGTTCCAGTTCATGCAAGCGGCTCGGTGCCCTACAGACGAGCTGTCACTGACCAACTGTGCCGTCATCAATGACAAGGAGCCACAGTTTGAACAGTGAGTAGGAACATCTGGAAAAACAGTAACATCTGGGTTGCTATCTCTACTGTATATCACGTTTAATCCTTTGTTCTGTTTTGACCTCAATATAGACATGTGACTGTGCGCAATGTAGCCCACATGTACGTGTTCACCTTGAAGAAGCATCCCAGTGTTAACGCCGGGACCATCGCCTTCAGCCTGCCACAGGTACGCCTCACTATGCAATGGCAACATGTTGCCTACCACATGGTTACTGTGTTGCCTGAGGGTGGCTGTGCATCGCTGCTGAACTGTGTTCTGCAGAATGAATCTAAAATATATTGATTATGTGGGGGGAAATAATAACAATGATTAATTTGACATACTGTAGCTAACCATTTATCTCAGTTGCTTGATGTTACTTGTAGAATAAAATAAATATTAGTCTAATTTAGCATTTGAACTTAACAAAGCACTGTTCAACACTTGCATGGAGTTGAAAGCTGCAAAATGTATTCAAATATCAGTTTTGCAAACATTATCTTATCTTAATCTTGATATCAATATGTAACCTCATATACTCTCTTGTGTGTTTTGCTGTGCGCTCTCTGCTCGGACTTCTCTGTTTGTCTCAATCTGTGTGTTACTGCTTCTTCCTTTTTTGCCTCGCCTTTCTCTGCCTGCTCTTCCGCCGTCTTTAAGGCAGCCACAACGGCTCACAGGTACTACTGTAACCTCCTCAACACGGTCTTATTTTACCACAAGAATTCAATAAACACTATCTATTGGTTGATTGGCTTATCATTTGACATAACTGCCATCATTGGTCCCCATGTCAGAAACCCAGCTTGTGTGAAATATCAACAGGCGAATAAAGATGTGTTGTGAAATAATAAGACCAAGTTGCAGAGGAACGTTACACTGATGTTTCTAAAACACGTCAAGTATAAAGTATAGCTTAAATCTTCTGGAAAATCTAGTTTCCTTGTTTATGGCAAAATGGTAAAAAATTGCCTTTTGTCTTTGGCAATATTGTGTTAATACAAAAAGAAAAAGACGAGACATGCTTCTAAATTAATCACTTTCTTTTCTTCTAAACAGAGAAAATGGGCCGGCCTATCGATTGGACAAGAGGTTAAAGGTAGGCTTCATGTTTATAGTATAAAACTGCTACTTTTCTAGATTATTCCAATCCCAAACAAATCGCACAAAAAGACCAAAACCAGCAATGAAGCTTTACTGTTAATAAGCCACACTTGCACTGGGTAATATGTTCCTTTATCACCATGAATACATACTGTAGTCAGCTTAGACTCCATGCTACATACACTGTCATGCATCGATTAATAGTCACTATAGCATCAAATGTATTCAAGTATTTGTTTCCCAAGAGAAACACTACCGTATTTCTTTCTGTTTAAGTAATGCTACCATAAATGTTGCTAAAAACTACAGTGACCAGATGTTATAGAAAATGACAGAACAGTTATAAATTGGGATAATGCTTTGTTTATGACCCACTTTAACAATTTACAGTTGGCACAAATGTTCTAAGAGCTGGGTACCAATGATAAGTATTGGGAGATGGACACACTGTTGGTCTTTTCATGGAATTGACTTAATAATAACTCAATTATATACATTTCCTTGAAATCTGCGTCTTCATGTTTCTTTCCCAACTGAAGACATCACAGTTAATCTACTGCGCTTATAGACTATATTTAAAAAGGTGTTGCTGTTGGTAACAGGGTATCCTTGCCTCACAGACTTCTGATTGTTCCACCACGGCCTTTCAGCCTTTTGTAATGACTGTCATTCATTTGTCATCTTTTGACGAGACGGTCTTTCTCTTTTATCACGAAATATCTTTTGAGTCACAGACACCTGGCTGCAGTAGAAACATTATATACCAACCCTTGCCCTCAGACTACTTCCATGTGAGTGACTTTAAAGTCTGCAGTCTGTGAAACGTCTCACCGTGCTGACTTGTGACGGTCATATCCTTCACATTACTAATTAAACGTTGGCTTAGGGGTTTGAGCTTTTATTCAGGTGTCACGAGCGGTGGATTGAACATGCTTTACCCAGTGCAGGGAGAGACGGTAGAACAATATGAGCAGGTGGTGTCACCGCAGAGCTGGCCAGCATCCAGAGAAAGAGAATATGATGTTCTTTGATGAAGTATTTTCACTCCGCTCCCTTAGGCCAAACGATGCCCAAAATGATGGGCGCCATTATGATACTGTCTGCATATCAGGAGTGAAAGGGAGGAATGAAGATATAATCCACTGAGTGAAAAAGCCTCATGGTAACTTTTAACTTTTTTGACATGGTCTTAAAAAAAGCCATGGCCCTTTTTTATCATGTGATCAAAGGAACATCCCCTGTCTCTTTCAGTATAAAGCAAGCATATCAGAATATCTGAACATTACATGTATAGAATGTTTATAGCAGTGTCTCCTGAAAGATTATTGAAGCAGTATTGTAAGGGCTATTTGTCTAATTAGCTGGCAGCGGTAGATAAATCCTGCTAAACTAGAGACGAGACAATTACAGTATATCTCATTTTCACAATGAGGCGTTAGAAAACACATGCAGGGGCTCCACAAATCATGTCAGGAACTACATGTTGTGTTGCTGATTTAGTTTTATCGCAGTGAAAGGATTAGATTTAATTAGTGTCTAATTGAACATAATCATACCATAAATCTAAAAGAAAATAGTAGATATGTGGGATATTCAGTAGTGATCGGCGATAAAAAGCTTTCTGAAGCCATGAAGTAAACATACTGGAAATAGTTTTCTGTTTCCATGCATTAACGCAAGTGGCGACATCTGCTGGCAAAACCACTGCGAATGCATTTGTGCGGATGGATAAATGTGAAAGGGTTTCAGTCAGAATGTATCTTGTGCAGTAAAGCTTGTTATATTAATCACAAGATTCAGTCTGCAGCTCTGTTTTTTTAAATACTGTGGAAAATGTACTGGAGCAGGAATGAAAGGAACTTATCTAGAGACTTAACAAGGTCTCATTTGCTGTTTTTAAAGCTGTGTCGAGAAATCTGTTATGGGTGCAGTTATTATTTTTATTATGTTGAATAAAACGTATTTATTTAAAAGCTGCAGATTGTTATATTAGGAAAAACAATTAGATGACACAAGATCTTCAAATGTAAAGCTGCAGTAAATATTGTTAACATTCCAAATTGGTGGTTTGTAGAGACAAACCATCCATCCATCTTCTCCCGCTTATCCGTGGTCGGGTCGCGAAGGTGGCAGTTCCAGCAGAGAGCCCCAAACTTTCTTTTCCCTGGCCATATCAACCAGCTCTGACTGGGGTTTCCCAAGGTGCTCCCAGGCCAGTGAAGAGATATAATCCCTCCACCTGGTCCTAGGTCTACCCCCTGGTCTCTTCCCAGCTGGACGTGCCTGGAACACCTCCCTAGGGAGGCGCCCAGGTGGCATCCTAACTAGGTGCCCGAACCACCTGGCTCCTTTCGACGCGAAGGAGGAGCGGTTCAACTCCGAGTCCATCCTGGATGACCGAACTTCTCACCTGACACCCTGCGTAGAAAACCCATCTCGGCCGCTTGTACCCGCGATCTCGTTCTTTCGGTCATGACTCATCCTTCATGGCCATACAGTAGGTGAGGGTAGGAACGAAAATGGCCCGGTAGACAGAGAGCTTTGCCTTCTGGCTCAGCTCCCTTTTCGTCACAACGGTGCGGTAAAGCGACTGCAGTAC